TTGGCTCTTTTTCTTCAAACCAACCACAGCCTCATTTGTTTACTAAAATCTTCCTAATTTCTATATTTAAGATTATTGGATTAAGGTTAACTCACTTTAACATTATTTCAATTCATACAACAAGGACGTGATGCTTCAAAAGTATTATATATATATATATATATATATATATATATTTTAACCCAAAAATTACTCAAGTAGGGGCAGCCACCTTAAGATTTAGTTAAAAATATAATCAAAATATATAATAAAACAAGGGAGGGCATAGCTGCCTTGCCCCAACCCAAAATACATAAACTCTCATAAAACCTAAGCTCGCTCTCAAATCCACCCATACATACATACATATTGGTCTCAATAATATTTTTACATATGTTACCTTAGAAGTATTATACTTGTGTTTTACTAAAAAATTTTCACTTTTAAACATAAAATTATTGATAAATACATACATATTGATGAATATGATATTTTACATATATGAAGGCATATTGGGTTCTCGATTGTGTTGAATTGCCCGAGGCCTCAACTCTAACCTAACCCAAAGTTAAATGGGATTTGTAATTTTCAACCCCTAACCTAACTCCAACTTCAACCGAACCCAACCTAGCCTGCATTTTCATGTTAGGTTAGGGCGAACCCGACCCAACCTCAAATTGCAGCCCCACTAATGCGATTGGTTTCGCTACATTTTTCTAGACTATCCTTTCCCTTTGTTTTATTTGTTTTTCTTTAGATGACACCAGAGCAAGAATCCAAATTTGCCATTGTTCAAATATTAAAAAAAATAACCAAGAGAGATTAGAACAAAGAAGGAAGCTACTCAAACATTTAGCCACCTATTTTGAAGGGTCTTGCTGGACAGAAACAGAACAATAGATGATGTAGGGCAGAAACAGCTGAGGAGAGGACTGTGGTCCACTACAATTATCAATTTTAACTTGATTTTTATAATATATAGAAAAATTTCCACCCACGTTCATCTCATTCATCAAATTTAACTTAAATTAAAAAAGTAGGCAGCGCCATCCACTTTTAAAATGTGCACGTGCTTTGTACACAACTACACATACACTTTCGGGGTGTTCTACATCATGAAATCTTTTTTATTTTCATTTGTTTTTGGAATAGTCATATCATTAAAAAAACAAAAATATGTTATTAAAGTCTGTTTTTTTTTTTATTTTGTTTTAAAAAATAATACATGTTTTTTTGGATGTATCAAAATAATGGTTTTTAAAATAAAAACAAAATTTTTAATATAAAAATTATATAATTTATGGAATATGATATTAAATAACCAGATGAAAACATGTTTTTAAATACAAGAAATTCAAGAACATGTTTTTGCAAAGCAATTTTTCTAGTGACATCGACTTACCATCAATGGGAAAGTAAAAATTAACTTTGGTTTTTCAATTTCCATTTGTGAAACAGCTTTGATAAGAGTTTGAGTAGCCCATTTGGGAAGGCTAAAGTAAGGCTACAAATAAGTCAGATCAGATTTGATTCAGATCCAAATTTGATCTGATAAGAGTAGGATTTGGATGCCTCTCTTGAATTTTGATATACCTCAATCCAATCTGCCACAACTCAACATGCCTCTCTTGAATTTGGATAAGAGTAGGTTCTGGCCCAAGAGCCTAAAACCTGAACCCAACATGACCCGCATACTGTTGTGCCAGGCCACGAATGTTACGGCCCAATTTACAGCTCTAAAATGCCTGGAAGAAGCAATTTTTCTTGAAAAACCATGAAAACACGGACACTTTTACTTCAAAATAGCTTAATAAAAACAGCTCGACCAAAGCAGCTAAACCAGCTTATCCCTCACCTCAGATGTGGTAAACCTACATTGATGTTAAGGTCAGGTTTGTCTTAATCGGGCTCTACCTGGACCCATGTCAAACCCCGCATTGCATCATTGAAACATTTAATAAATTGCTTTAATTGAGGATAGGTGTATTATCTGCGTAACGGATTGGAGGTCAGGTTCGATATCCCTTCCTTGTTGGGTTGGGTTGGAATCAAAAGTTGTTTCAAGTGGGCTCGGGTTGAGGCAAATGACCCGTAGACATTTCTATGCATTTCGTTTGCAATAGGTAAGTCTTTTTTTTTTTCCTTAATTTTAGTTTGAAAATAGTATAAATATAAATGTATAGAGTGCAAAACTTTGTATTTTATATTAGGGAAAATTTCTGATCAGTATCTTGTAATTTGGCTCAAGTGATAATTTGGTCCTCTAACTTTAAAATGCGAGAATCCAATACCCGAATTTTTAAAATGTGATAATCCAATATCCGAATTTTTAAAATGTGACAATCTAGTACTTGTCGTTAATCAATCTGTTAATCAGCTGTTAAGTGACATTTAGAAAGTAAAAAATATTCTAAGAATGCAATCTAATTCTCTTTATCAAGCATTTAAACATTGACAATAAAATGAACAGTCCTGAATTCTAAATTCTTCTAAACAGTCACCAACTTTTTTAAATATAAGAGACTAGGATTTGGGACCATTCAGTTTTTTGTCAATGTTTGAATAGTTCATAAAAAGAATTAGATATCATTCAAAGGGTATTTTTGACTTTTCAAATATCATTTAATGGCTGATTAATGAACTAATTAACGACGGATACTGGATTATCACATTTTAAAAGTTAGAGCACTGGACTGGCGTATTTTAAAGTTTGAGACCAAATTGTCACTCGAGCCAAAATACAAGGTATTAATTAAGAATTTTCTATTTATATTTTATATATTTGTATTTATACTACTTCCAAACTGACCCTTAACATCAACTCCCGTTAAAAGCATATGGTTCAGTAGTTGAAATGATCACTCATGAAAGGAGATGTCGAATCAAAGTCTCAAACCTGTCGGAACTGTAGGCTCTCTTTGAAATGGCACTCTGCTCTGCCCAAAAGAACTCTGTCTCAAACCGTAGAATTTATATTTTGTTTTTTCATCCAAATAAAGGAAACTTATAACCGGAGATAAATAACTCTGTTGAATTTCGAATTTGAAAGATCAGCATTAACTGTGAGAACCACATGCAAAATGGAATATATTGGTGGATATGAGCTGTGGAGTTAAAAGCATGACCAATCCAGTAGAAGGCATGTGATAGATGACATATTAGTGAGGATGGAATAACATAGCATAGTGGGCAGAGTGATGAGGCGGTAGGAGTTTGGATCGGTATATATATATATTTATATAAATTATATAATATAAATATATATTTATAATATATGATATATTATTTATTATTTAAAATATAATATTATATATATTTATAAATTTGTATAATATATATTATAAAAATAATAATGATAAACCAAACTGATCAATCAGTTAATCGATTGGTTTTAATTTAATTTTGATTATCAATTTTTCAAAAACCGATATTACCAATTCGTTTAAAAAAAAACCCACGGTTTAATTTACCAAACCGTGAACACTCCTACCCAAAGTTACATCGGGAATTGGAATTTCTTTCCAACATGCTTTCAATATGATGTGTCTACACATCTTACCATACAACCGAGACCCACTATGTATTATATGAAAACACATCATGTTGGAATGTTTTTTATTGGAAGGAGATCTGAGCTCTTCCTCTGTCAAAAAAAGAAAAGCACAAACAGTAGTCAAACTAGTCATACTGGATAGACCCCTTGCTGAAAGGAGAAACCGAGCTTATCTTCTATTGTTGAAAAAAAAAACCATCTCTCTGTCAAAACCTATAAGCATAGCCCACATATATTTGCAAGTTGCAGCCATGAAATTTCATAAATATGAACCACCACCAACTCCATGATATACCGTGGACTGTATTTTCTTTTGCTATTGAGTACTATGATTTTGCATCCAATTGAAACTATTGCAGCCATGGAATTCCCTTAAGTAAATTATGTGATGAAAGAAACACGTAATTATTCCCTGAGTGTGAGCTTATCTTATATTCCTGATCCCAAATTCGGATAAAGGAGATGGGTTGATGAGGTTGGCAGCTAGACGTATATAATGTGGGTCATGCTATGTTAGTGCCTGCCTAGTTTCAAATCCCTCAAAAGGGTTGTGCCAAGAATTAGGGCAACGATTTTTTCAGAAAAAATTGAAAATAATAATAATAATTAAATATATAAAAATAATTTATATTTACGTGGGCCATGTTTTGGACTGGCATGACCTATTTACTATAGTGACTGGGCCATGCCATGCATGGACCAAATCTCTAATACTCATGTACTCTGAATCAAACTCTATTTATTATTAGACTTGTTTTCCATTTTACTGTATTCATACGGGCAAAAAGTAGATAAGTTATTAAAATAGGAAATATCAAATGCACCTTTAATAATGGATATGAATGGCAAAAGCAAGATTCATGTGGCCTACCCCAATTAATTATTGGGATAAATCTTTAATAATAATAATAATAATGTTTTTTTTTTTATTTTCAAAATAATATAAAATAATAATTAGAGTTAATAAAGAAGAATTAATATTTGGATAATCATGGTATAATAATAAGAAGGAGAGAGACAGAGGGCAGAAAAAGACAAATCAGAAAACAACTATACTAGAACATTCCAACAGCTCAATACCATGGGCAGTTTCCAGTGTCCGGAGAGATCTTCTCTGTCCGATGGCCGCATCTCCAACAACTATACTAGAACATCCTTGCCTGATGCGGTGATGCCCCTCATCCTCCTTTCTTCCACATGCATTCGTGCAACCTCAATCCATATAAAATTACTTTCCTATTACATGTTGTAATTTATTACACTACACCGAAATACAATCTGTTAGAGATGCAAATCCGGATTATCATCAGATGGCTTTGCTTCATGTGAGGCCATCTTTTTTATCTCTATTTTCAATTCTGTGACCACGATTTTGAGTTCAAAAGTGGGAATCTTTGAATCTTTAATGAATGCAGTGTACAACTCCAACTCGCATATGGATTATCCGAGTATGGACTGGACACGTCTTTCTCCTTGTCTTGGTTCCACCATAAATCAAAACCTACATATAACGTGGGACCCAGTAATGTGGCCACCTCAGATTGACATCATTCGGTCGGTCTCACACTCTCACTCTAACACTCCTCGCCCCTCGATGTAGCCAGCGGTGCACTATAAAACCGAATCCCTCCACGCTTTCTGCTTGCTCAACTCAACACAGTGGCCGTAGTATATGTGTATTTATTATATCACTCAAATATCAAATCTCAACAATCGATGGCCGATTCAACAACGCCGCTTCTCTCTCGATCCAACTCGGAAGCTGAACCAGAAACCCCACGACTCGCGAAGCAAGTTCCCTCTCTAGACGACACCATCGAACGGTGTATAGGAAGTTTCGGGTGGGCTCAGCTCCTGCAAGCCGTCCTGGTCTCCCTCGCGTGGGTCTTCGACGCCCAGCAGACCTTCATCAGCGTCTTCACCGACGCCGAGCCCACCTGGCACTGCTCTCGCCCCGACGACCCCTCCTGCAACTCTTCCGCCAACCTCTGCTTACTTCCCAAGGATGCATGGGCTTGGGATAAGCCGTCACGGACATCCGTCCTGTCGGAATGGAACCTCGCCTGCGCCGGCCCCGTCATCGCCGGGTTACCGGCGTCGTCATTCTTTGTGGGCTGCCTCGCTGGTGGACTCGTTCTCGCCACATTGGCTGATTCGTCTCTCGGTCGCAAAAATATGCTCGTCCTCTCATGCCTGATGATGTCCGTAACTTCTACTTTAACGGCCTTTTCTCCCAACATTTGGGTCTACGCCGCCTTGAGATTCGTTAGCGGGTTCGGTCGCGCTACGATCGGAACTTGTGCGCTTGTCCTCTCGACAGAAATCGTTGGAAAACGATGGCGAGGTGAGGTGGGTGTCATCGGATTCTTGTTATTCACATTCGGTTTCTTGTCGTTACCGATCATGGCTTACATCAACCGAGAGTCTTCATGGAGGACCCTCTATCTGTGGACGTCCGTGCCAGCCATCTTTTACTGTATAATTATCCACTTCGCAGTGCGCGAATCACCAAGATGGCTCCTGGTGAAAGGACGCAAAGACGAAGCGATAGAGACGTTAAGAACCATAACCACAAGGAATCAAAGTAGCTTCAGGTTAAGCGTGAGCTTCTCCGGCATATCCATCGTACCGGAGACGTTCGACGGCAATCTCTACTCTGCTATCAAGGCATTGGTGGAGAAAAAGTGGGCCTTTCGACGGTTAATGGCAGTGATGACCGTCGGTTTCGGCATCGGAATGGTGTACTACGGGATGCCTTTGGGGGTCGGAAACCTGGCCTTCAATCTCTACTTGAGCGTCACCTTCAACGCCTTATCAGAGCTGCCGTCGTCGTTGCTGACGTTCTTTCTTATCGGAAAATTGAACAGGAGAAGTTCGCTGCTGGTGTTCACGATTATAAGCGGGATTTGTAGTATAATGTGCGTGGTGGTGGGTGAGTCACGGCAGGTATTGCAGGTGGCGGTAGAGCTGGTGAGCTTCTTTAGCGCGTGCACGGCATTCAGCGTGTTGCTGATATATACGCTGGAATTGTTCCCGACGTGTGTGAGGAACTCGGCATTATCGATGGTTAGGCAGGCGTTGGTGTTCGGCGGGGTGTTCAGTCCGGTGTTGGTGGCCGCCGGGAGGAAAGATGGGTTTTTATCTTACGGGGTGTTTGGGTTGGTAATCGGGTGTTGTGGTTTGTTCGTGGTTTGCTTGCCGGAGACCAGAGGTGGGACCCTTTGTGATACGATGGATGAACAGGAGTACAAGGAGATAATAGCATCTAACGGTGGTGATGATGTTTGAATTCAAACGAATCCAATTGCCTTGTATTCATTTACTCGATTGATGATTGATGTAAGTCGGTATCCAATCCAACGGTGGTGCGGATGGGACGAATGGTAACGCCTATAAAGAAAATGAAAAGCTGAGATGCACCCAATTATAATGTCTTTCCAAAACATAAGAATTTTTGTTTCAGCTCTATTAAGAATTTTTTTATAGGTCAGGTAGGAGAAAGGTGGTAATTTTTACATCTATTTTTGGGATTCGAAATTTGCATTTCCAATATTCAATATGTAGAACGAGACAAACATGGCTAATAATTACTATTAATGGTTAATATTTTTATCATTTTATATTAATTTACTAATGATATTTAATATTGAAACTGATCCAAATCCTGATCTAAATCTGATATAAATGAGATTTGATTATAATCCAAATATTAACATTATCAAATTTAGGTATTATAATCCAAATATTAACGGATCAAATTTGGGTCTCATATTCAATCAGTCCTTTTGCAACCTAGGGATTTTTGGACTGCAATCCCCCTCAAAAAATTTTCCGACCAAATCCCTTGAATTTGAAAATCACCCCATACACGAAAATCTTCGAGGAACTGATCAGCCTAAAAAATGAAAAATTTCAAAGTGAATTACCAAATCGGTTGGGAGGGTAAGACCGAAAGTGGTATTGGCAAATCAGTTTCTCTTATCATTTCTTCTTTCTCAAAAACCATAAGATATTGCTGCTGTGGTTTTGGTTTTCTATGTACAAATAGATTTGGAATTAATATTGTCTGAGACAATTAATAATGAAATCCTTTAGACAAACAACCCCTTAATTTTTCAAGTGATAGGAAAAATCTATTTTGATAGAGGTCTCTAATCGAAATGGGTCATTCCAAGAACAAAAATCTCATTGCATTTAATCCCTCTAGTGAATCCGATCCGTTTGCAGCTCTAGGCTCAAGTACAATGGATATAACCCCCCATTTAAGGGAATGACCATCCCTCCTCCTCCATTGAGGATGAAATCCCATTTCAGTATTCTCATTCCGGTTTAGATTTATATCTGAATCCAGCTGGAGGCTGTATTCCCTTTTTTGGATTAGAACTGATAAGGATAAATTTTGGGTGTATTCCCTTTTTTGGATTAGAACTGATAAGGATAAGGATATATTTGTAGAATAAAATAATTTTAAAAAAATATCAAGGTGGAAGCAAGGTTCAAAAAACCGATCGGATGTATGTATCTCTTTTGTGCACCCTTTTTTAATAAAAAAATCCATTTTTAATTCTCAAAAAACCAAAATTAAAAAAACTAAAAAAAATGTATTTTCGTGTATTTTTAAGTATAGAATGCAGAGACGTATCGATACTTTGAACCATGGATATAAGACAATGCACATTATCTTCTTTTGAAGGATAATTTTGATATTTTTAACAAATAATTGAAAATTGGTTAATGATATGTTCAAAAGTTCGGGGTATTAACTTGGTACTACCCCAAAAAATTCAGAGTACTAAAGTGAAATTTTCTGTTTTATTCTTTTCCTAAGTATCTCCAATTCCACTAGAGACTAGAATTGACTAGAATTGAAGAAATGATTAACTTTTTGCTACTACATCTTATTCAAGGTCATTAGTGTATTGCAGCGTTACCACCAAATACGTTTCTTCATCTTATTCAAGGTGGGCCATAACAAGACATCAAAGGCCTTTGATTTCGTTGATAATACTAGTAAATATGGATGTTTGTGTTGAAATTTTAAATTACAACGACAATTATTATTATTACCATTATTACTATTATTATTATTATTTAATTTTGTATTCTATTTTCATCATAAATAAAAATATTTTTTATTTTAATAAATTTTTTATTCAATATGATGAATATATTACATTAGAAATGTCCCCAAATATTTTTGATAAAATTGTATATTTTTCATTTTTTGTGTTTTATCTTTTTTAAATATTTATTATTCATTGTTAATAAAAATATTTCTTACATTTCATACTTAATTTTATTTAATATAATGAATATATAATATTATAGATATGCTCAATTCCTTTTTTTGTATTTTTATAGATTATTTATTTTGATTTTTTATTATTTTATTATGACATTATTAGTTAACCCATTTGACCAAAATCATTGAATTGCTTACCCACCATTGGGAGGGAAGAAAATGGTTTCATTTTCAATTTATTTTTCAAAATATTTATTTTTATATTATTAAATCAATGTTGTGGATTTAATTAATATAATTTAATGATGAGAAAAATATTTCTTAAATATAGAATTTAAGGAGAGAATATACCATAGATATGAGACTTAAAGAGAGAGAGTATGAAAATAATTTTATTTGCAATTGGTTTTAATTTTATATTCCATTTTCATCATTAATTAAAGTATTTCTTATTTATCATACTTATTCTTGTCTAATATGATGAATATGTGATATTAAAGATGTTCCAAATTTTTTCTTTAATTTCTATATTTTTTGCACTTTATCAAGTTTTAATTTTTTTATTTAATTGTGGCAACAATGCAACATGGGTTGGCCTATTTGACCCAAAATTGCTTAATTTCTTACCACCACATAAAAATACTGTTTTTCCAAGTCAATTTCAAAAGTACAAGTTTTTATGTTATTAGAATTATTTATGTATGGATTTAGTTAGTGAAATTTAGTAATTAAAAGAAACAAAAATGCCTTAAATGTATGGTTAAATGAGGGTGAATGAGAGTTAATACCTTGAATGGAATTTAATGAGAGAGAATTGAATGCAATGAATAATAGTATTTAAATTACTTTCTCTGCCCTCATAATGGATAGGGACCCTATTTCAAAAAAGGGTATTTTAGTTCAAAAAAATTCTAGATATCTTAGACATGTACCTTAATTTCTATATTTTTTTTGCATTTTATCAAGTTTTAATTTGTTATTAGGGTTGGCCTATTTGACCCAAAATTGTTTAATTTCTTACCACCACATAAAAGTACTGTTTTTAGTAATTAAAAGAAACAAAAATGCCTTAAATGTATGGTTAAATGAGGGTGAATGAGAATTAATACCTTAAATGAAATTTAATGAGAGGGAATTGAATGCAATGAATAATAGTATTCAAATTACACTTTCTGCCCTCATAATAAATAGGGACCCTATTTCAAAAAAGGGGTATTTTAGTAAAAAAAAATCCAAAGTCTTAGACCCTATTCGTACTTTTTATAGTAGCATAGATTAATATGCAAAGGAACATATGATGTGGATAACAATGGTCTTTCCATCCTATTTCTTTAGGCCCCATTTGGTTTGTGGAAATAGGAGTTTGGAATCGGAATTGGAATAGACTATTCTAAGTATTTGGTTGGGTAGAATTTGAATTCTATTCCCATTCCCCGTGGAATGGTTATTCTCTTCCCCCTCCCTTCGGAATGAAATCTCTTTCCAGATGATTATGGGAATAAACCATTCTGATTCCGATTCCAAAGGATTTCAATTTTGACTCTCACAATAAACTAAACAGACTTTTAAAAATTGAACATTTTAAAATATATATTTTTTAAGCTTAGTTTGGAAAGAATATAAATACAAATATATACAATGCGAATACATAAAAAACATAAGATTTTGCAGTTTATGTATTTGTATTTATACTCTTTCCAAACTGAGCCTGAGTGTCGCTAGCACTCTACATATTTGCAAGGTTCTAAATATTGATACGCCTGATACGTCGGTAGGGGTTTATCGGGCAATATCGGTCCTTTTTTTTTAATTTTTTTCAAAACCGGTTCAGGGGGCGGTTTAAGGCTCTTCCACCCCATGAAACCGGTCAGAAACCCGATACATCCAATGTAGGGGCGTATTAGGGTGCTCCCAACATGATATGTATCGGCTGATACGAGCCAATACATGTTGATACTTTGGAGTTTTGAACCTTACATATTTGTACGCTTTCCAAATATAAATGGATTGGGAATATATTTACCTTTTGGGTTTAAGTTGATGCATTTTCAAGATTGAGGGACATCAATTTTCTGAGCCTTGATGGGATGTTTACATCCAAGAAGATAGCCGGATTCAAATCTTAGACCCTGTTTGGTTTGTGGGAATAGGGGTCTGAAATTGGAATCAATATAGGTTATTTTAATTCCAATTGTTTGGTTGGGTGGAATTGAAATTCTATTCTCATTCCTCTTGGAATGGCTTTTCTCTGCCTCTCCCTTGAGAACAAAATCCCATTCCTACTAATTCAATTTCTCATTTTCATTCAATTCTGGACCAATCAGACTATGGAAGTAAGCCATTCCGATTTCGATTCTGATTCTGACTATGAAACTGACACCTTTAATTTTTAGGGTAAATTGTTTAAACTTCCTCTGAACTTTCTGAAGAAGCTGTAATTAGTTGATAGGTCTTTGACCAAGTCAATGGTTTGACCAATTCTTGGGTTTAGAGTAAACCTGGACTGGAATTGACATCAGTAATGGTTCAAATGGTTCATCAACCTCGATCAACATTCAACAACAATTTGGAAACATTACTTTTAGATGCCTCTCGGAATCATCCCTTTTGACATCTTCTATTAAAAAAAAACAATTTCTATTAAATTATTATAATGTGACAGGATTACTTACAAGCAAAAACTCTGCAACGATTTTGAAAGCACTAGTTTTAAATGCCTCTTGGAATCATCCCTTTTGACATCTTCTATTAAAAAATAAACAATTTCTATTAAATTATTATAATGTGACAGGATTCCTTACAAGTAAAAACTCTGCGCATACCTTTAAATCATGAGAATCTTGTCACACATTGGGAACATCTCCCATTAATTTCACATAAATATTCTAGAGATATTCCTTAATGTGATGTTGGATACTGTTATGATTCGGCTTGCCTTGGAGTTCAATTTGTCTGAGATCAGTCACATAGAGAGAGGTAGAAAAGTGGAAGAAAGAGAGAGAGAGAAAAGGAGAAAGTCTGGTTTTAACTAGAAGTCAAAAAACCTAACTCCCATTCGGCCAGACATGTGCTTTTATTATTAAAATAATGGAAAAGACATATGTGCCCTTATTTAAGTAAGGAGCACTGGTTCTAACATAATATTACAGATCAACAACCTTAATAGAAGTATAAAGACAGAAATACCCCTACGCAAACACTCCCCCTCAAGCTGGTGAGTATATATCATATAATCCCAGCTTGTTACATATGTAGTCCACTCTTCCCCGACTCAATCCTTTTGTAAATAAGTCTG